CATGGTGTGAGCAGTAACAAATCAATTAATAGTATTTGGCAGCATTTAGTCATAAATACAATTGACATTTGGTTAAGAAAAATTTCAGTGCGAGAGGGATCGTATTACAATCTACTTATAGAAGTTAAGAAAAAGACAAATTTAATTACATTGACTCAAGTTAATATTAATCTTTGTATAAACATTCAGTGAATTCTATGAACCCTACAATCCTTTCTAACCATGAATTTTGGAAGGAACAACTACTTCATTCTTTATCCTTTTTTCTTTTCTTTTTCAATAAATGAACAAATTTCTCTTTGCATGCGATCACTCCACATGTGGGGATGTTAGTTTTTCTAATCGAAAAACACCATAAAATTTGTCTATATATATATATATATATATATATTATTCAGATTGTCTCTCTTCAATGTGGAAAATGCATAGGACCAAAATTCAAAGCCAGTGTAGAGAGGAACCAAAATACGACAAGGGGTTAGTGGATTTTTTTGAACTTTTAGAGCAAAAATCAAAAAATATATATATATATATATATATATATATAATGTGGCCCGTTAGATTACTTAATTAAATACAATTAGATACTTTAATTACATGGAGTAAAAAATTAAAACAATTAATTACTGCCAAAATAATGGACACTGCATTTTAATTTCCCATTCTAGTATATCTTTTTTTTTTTCTTTCTTTTGAGTGCCCGGACTATTTTTGTTCACATCCAACCATTCCGTACAGTTGATTTTAAACCCATCCCCCATCTGAGTAATTCCCTTTGCCAAAATATGCAAAGCAAGGCATATTTAATCTAGGGGTTGGAAGGTAGTTCTCAACTTTCAACTTTTTTTATTCCTAGACTGGAGATATGGACAAACCCACGTTCTACTGACAGCCTTAGCACACCTAACTACAAGAACAAAGAGCAGACTGTGCTAAAAGAATTGACAGTAATAGTATGTACATCCACAAGATAATTGTATGAGGCACCTTTTATCTGTGCTGACCAAAACAAGTATCTAATCAGAACAAAAACCTACAAGCAGTTGCAGGCTGCATAACTTCTTCCCGGTTGTGTTTATGATGAGCTGGTGGATTAGACCTTTTGCATGGTGTTGAATTTAATTTTTTCCTTTTATTGAGATTGCCATCCTGTCCGACCCCCATAGCAGCAGAAAGCATTGTTGCCCTTGATCCGGAGATGTGCTTTTTCAGGCATCTAAGAGCTAAACTTTTATTCATATCCAGTGGAACCTCGCTCAGTGGTCTCTTTCGATTCCCTTGCTTCTCTAATTTCAAATGATCTCGCGGAATACAATAAACTGCTTCTGCAAAATTTGAACTAACATCAAATCATTTTGACTAAACTATATATATATATGCATATATGGAAACAAGATCATGAGAGTGATTCTCTTACCTCGATGTTCCCTAGGAACACCTGAACTCTCCAATGCAAGTGCGGAAGGTGAATTATTATTCTTTGCAACTTTGATACCCCTCTGATTGCAATTATTCTTTTCAAGAGGCAGCACATTTTGTGATTTCTCATACTCACTATCCATTAGTGGTGATGCAGCATGAATCATGGGAGTATCATCTTTGGACTCTCTGAACTCTGGTCCATTCTGCTTTGATTTGTATGAATTCTCAACAGAATTCTCAGCAGCATTCCTCATTCCAATAAACTGAGACCAGTTATTCATTTCTTCAGTCATTTCATTGTCGCTGGATTTATTCACCTCATAATTTTCATTATCTCCTATTCTATGATCAAAACTAGAGTCATTCTTCACTGCATCCAGAATTGACTTGGGCGATGAATTTGTATTTGCTTCCAATCTAGGATTTATCCCTTCAAATATAGTTGAAAACCACGGTGTATTCTGCCTGGCATAGAATAATATATATGCATCCTGAGATAGCACATAGTCTTCTTCAACCCTAGTAACCTGCCAAAAGGGGAAAATAAATCAATCAATAAACAAATAAATTACACACGCACACACATATATATACACATCAGAATTCAGCAAGATTGGTTTAATTATGCATTAGAGCTTCTAAAACCCAGTGACTAATGTTGACAGCCCAACCCAACATACTTACATTTTGTAAGTTAAACGACATAAATTGTCTCATCATCAAAACCCAGTAACTACGCGACTTTAACAAGAATATTTGGGATACTTCAATAACTTAAAATGCCGGAGGGGAACTCTTAGCTCTCAAAAGCTTGGATAAATGTTGAAGCAGAAGAATTATGTCAATTAACAAAATGCAGGAAAAAATAGCAATGAAAAACTTAACGCCCACGTCATCAATGTAATCATAACTTATGCTTAACCTTCCTCAGGAACTAAAAATTAAAGACATCACCAAAACAAGCTTATCTGTAAGGCCAGCTCATTAATAAATCTGGTAAACACTACCTGTGAGTCATCCAATTTGTGCCATGTATCCGGGGAGGACCGAACATAGCAGAAGTAATGACCAGAAGTTAATGATTCTCCAATGTGCACCACAAATGCATACAAGTAATACTTGAGCTCTGCCTCCTGTAAGGAATGGCAGAAAAATTTAAGAAATTAGTTATGATAACTGAAATAGAGAGGCAAATAAATAGTCAATGTGTCCTGAAAAATCTTGGCTCAACTAGGGCTTTTCCTTGAACAAAAAGAAAAGACAGAATTAAATTTTATCAAATCGCAATGCCCTAAAGCTCATTCAACTAAAATCAATGTCTTTGTAGTAAATCTCAAATGTGAGACATTTTACTCACTTCACAACTCTGGCAGCTACTTGTATAAGGTTGCAAGTCCAACTCCAATGGGAACTTCACATGCTTATAAATCTTACCAACAAAAGTTCCATCGTTCGTGAATCTCTTCAAGTGGAATGTGGCAACTGAAGGTGCCCGGTCCACCATAAGTTGTTTCTCCTTTGACACTCTTTCTTTACAATTCTCACATTTAAACTTTGTCTCCGGATCCTCAAGTTTTTCCACACTGGTAAAAGATAATAGGGCACTTTGAAGAGTGTCCACCTCTTCAATCTCCAAACTAAGTCCAATCGAGGCCTCATAAGTGTCAGAGTAGTGACCACAGTTGCAGCACTGAAGCTGATATCCAATCAATAAAATGTCAGTGTGATTTGCATTTTGATAGAATTGCTACTTATTTTCAATATTGGAACAAGTATAAAGAGATCTAAGAGGCAGGCCATACTCTGCTAAGGAGACGACCACCAAAGACCTGTTCCACAATGTTGATATCATGGGAAGATAAACTATCATCCATTTTCTTAACATCAAAACAACATTGTTCAAGTTTATCCAATATGGATTGTAAGAATTCATGAGCATCCTCCTGCTGGTATTTCTGGAAGAAAGAGGAAAATTCTGATATTCTTTGGGTCAAGAATAACAAGAAAAGATCTATTGTCTAGCCAGAGAAATAGCTGTTCAAAAACAAGTACGCATGCAGCATTTTCAAATACAAGAATAATTAAAGATTGCTTTCAAATATATAAATTTGAGATTAGTTTACGGTAAGAGTTAATTACACGTAGTTAGCCAGAATAATAAAAAATATAAAACATTAATGACTATTTACTTACATTGTTCCAATTCATTAAAAGAAAAATGAAAAAAAGGATACTGTCCAAATTGTCAACAAATCTTGAAGGTGAGACAACCCTTCCCGAGGAATGTAATGATAGTTGGATGTGATCACGAAGAATGCAAATAACACAGAACCCTTCTCTATTACCTGAAATTTTGCAACTTTTTTTAACTTAGCGAACCAAAATATTAAAAGCCAGAGAAGGAATAGTATGGATAGCGCTACAATGTTCCGAAAGCATGGTTCCTCTATAGAAACTAATAACTCTTCAAATATTTTCGCATTTTGGAAATAAAATAGCATACCAAGTTATTTTTCCAAAAAAAAGAAACAGCATACCAAAGAGTATTAAACTAGTCATTAATGTTCTTGTTTGGAAAAGGAAATTATGAAAAATGAGATTAAAACATATAGATCATACAATAACAAGGCATCAGGCGATTGCAAATGTGAAGAGCATAAACTAGGAGCACTATTTAGCTTGGGTTATGAGTTTAAAAGTGCTATTAAAATAATTATTCATTAAATGTACTTTTAGTCAAAATTATTTGTTGTTTAATACAAATAGTTGTAGAAACTTAGGATCGGAGTTCAGAAAATACTTTAAAAATAATTATTCACTAAATGTGTTTCTAATCAAAGGTTATTTAGTACTTCAATACAAATAATTGTAGAGACTTGAGTCGTGAATTTTAAAAGTGCTTTTAAATTAATTGTTCACTAAATATGATTTCATTCAAAAATTATTGTGTGCTTAATACAAATAGCTAGAGAAAGTGTTACCATGTTTAAAAAACATAAGTTGTGCGTTTGGTGAAATCAGGTTTTGAAATTTAAAGTGTAAATTTTTACTAAAAACTATACATTGTAACTTTTAAATTCAAAGTTATAAAACATAAATTTTGACTTTGGCTGTTGATAAAACTACTTTGCACTTTACACTCTTGGTTGTAAAAGTTTTTTTAAAACGTAAGAATTAAAATCAAACATCTCTTATGAAAATAATTCAGCATAACAAGTACAAGAGTATCGAAGTGGTCATCAATGTTCTTGACTGCAAAAGGAAATAACAAAAGACTGAGATTAAAATGTATGTAGATCATACAATCACAAGGCATTGGGTGATCGCAAGTCTGAAGAGCCTGGACCAGGGGCACTGTGTGGGTGAAGCATTGCAGGATTGAATTCATGAAGCAAGTGTTGCCTAAATTTGAAATCCCTGCACCCTACAAAACCGATAATCCAAATAATAATAATCATAATGATGACAATGATAATGATGGTATGAAATAAACGCATGATTACAAAGAAGGGAAAATAAAAAGTTGTGCAGAGCATGATGGAACATACCACACCGGTGGATATGATTTCCTTGGATTCCCGCGCTTCTGACCGGCTAGATTCTTGGGCACTCCACTGAGATTGAGTCCATGGTTTACACTCCACAACCTCGTCTTCACTATTATACGATCTTGGGGGAAAAGCAGTGTCGTCCTCCTTTTGCGGACACCGTTGCATGTCGGATGATGGGCGATGTTCTGCAGGATCATCTTCTTCAAGGCCAAACAATGAGAAATTGAGCCTCTCCTTTTCCAGTTGCGAAAACGGCCTATCAACGGCAGATACATTATGTTCGGGCATAATTATAGAAATTGGTTCATATGGATCATGAACTAAAGGCTGATTATTATCAGCTGGTAAAGATGGTGGAGTCAGATTATGATCGGCTAGGGTTTCGTTTGGCGGAGGTGGCGAGAGCGGATTTAGGTTCGGCAGTGACGCAGCCCGAGACTCGTGGTGAACTAGGTCTCTACTGCAAGAAGATGGTGATGACGGAATAGAATTCAGGTTGTTACCAGAAGAACAACACCCATCAAGATTCGTCAAAATCTGCTCGCCAGAAGTTTCAATTGACGAAGATGTCGAAGACTGCCCCGGAAATAAGCACCAAGAAACTTTTTCCAGAGAACTTGAATTAAGTGGTGAAGACACATTTGAATTAAGTGGTGGTTGAACCAAAGAACGGTTACCCAGAGCATGCATATCTGAAGATAACAAAGAACCATCAGTTGATGCGGCCATTGCAGTTAGAATTGAGAAACACCCACAATGACCGCTCAGAAGAGAATGAATTTGGTGAAGAAGAATTGGTTTCTAGGGATTCAATTGTGAGAGGAAAGAGGGTTGCGAGTTTCGTAATTACAAGAAAATAGGTTCTTGACTAGGGTTAACAAATCTCAATATGGAAAAATCAAATTGGATAGTTATTTAATTTGATAACGTATCTTGATCTTGGAACGGAGATGGGTAAGGCCAGAAAAGGAGGGAATACGGAACAACTTCTGAATGCAATTTTCAAAATGGGAGGGAAACTGAACCGCGTCTATCAAAAATTCAGAATGGGCAAGTGGAAGAAGGGAATCCTTTTTTACAATTTACCCAATTAAAGATGGACACGTGGCGGTATTTAGCGGGAAGTATGGTTCCTACTATGCTCCGCGTGCGGCTCCTCACTAAAAATATAAATTTGTTTTAGTAAAAATATAAATTTATATATAATCATAGGCTTGAAATTTATTTATTAATCATAAATATAGTAGGACAAGAATGTCACTAAATTTTTTCTATACATATACTTGTCACCATAGTGAATATGAATTTCACATATAATATGTTAATATAGAAACTATATTTAATATTCAGTAATAATTAAGTGGTTGATTGCTAGTAATATTTTTAAAATTAAATATTCATATAGACATATTAATTGTCAAATAGATATTTGTCAATATGTACTAAACACATTGTTATTAGTAAGAGTTTATTTAAATAAAATTTAAAAGTACATATTGTATTTTAATATAAAATTATACAATATTAATATGAACATTCTCGAATAACTTAGGAGTTTATTCTATATATATTACACAAAAAATTCATTGGAGTATTTCATGCAATTTTAAACATATCTAAACAAGAAGAGCTAAATCAATATCATTTACAAAAATTTGAGAAAATAAAATGTATTAATCATATTTTAAAGCAATTTTATGAGGTATATATATTGCATTTTTTTAAAAAAAAAATTATATTCTATATTCAAAATCTCTTTGAAAATAAATTAACACAGTTAGTATTAATATTTAAAACAATGTACGAGAATAATTGATGAAAGACATATTACAGTAATAATAACACGAGAGAAAGCAATCCCATATAGGAAGAAAAAGAATTCGAACAAAAAAATATAATGTCAGCTTCTAATTTTAATATGTTCTTTTTACTTATGTTGCAATGGTTATTACAGTGTTGGATATAATATTACAACTTTTGCATAAAATATAAGAGGATATGAGATTTTTTTTTTTATCTACTAGAATGTAACGACCCCGGAAATTCAAAAGAAAAAAACTATTGTCTAGGCAGAAAAATAGCTGTTCAAAAACAAGTGTGCATGCAGCATTTTCGATACAAGATTAATTAAAGTTAGCTTTCAAAGACATAAATTTGAGATTAGTTTATAATAAGAGTTAACTATAGCGTGGTTAAGCAGAATGATAAAAATATAAAATATTAATGATTATCTGCTTACATTGTTTCAATTTATTAAAAGAAAAATGAAAATGAAAAGGATACGGTTCAAATCGTCAACAAATCTTGAAGGTGAGATAACCACTCCTGAAGAATATAAAGATAATTGAATGTGATCACGAAGAATGCAAATAACACAAAACCCTACTTACTACCTGAAATTTTACAAATTTCTTTCACTTAGTCAATCAAAATATTAAAAGCCTAGGAAGAAATAGTATGAATAGTGCTACCCTCTTCCGAAAGCATGGCGTCTCTATAGAAACTAATAACTTTTTAAAGATTTTATTATTTTGGAAATAAAACAGTATACCAAGTTTAAAGTGTTCAGTGAACTTATATTTTAAAATTTAAAGTGTAAATTTTTAATAAAAACTAAATTTATTTTCTAAAAACTACAAATTATAATTTTTTACTTTAAAATTTATTAAAAAGAAATTTTGACTTTTGTTGTTTCGAAAAGTACTTTACACTTTATCCACTTGCTTGCAGAAGTGCTTTGAAACGCAAAATCAAAGTCAAAAGTTGAGACAAACACCTCTTTCGGAAATAATACAGCATACCAACTAAACTACAAGGGTATTAAACTAGCCATTAATGTTCTTGACTGGAAAGGGAAATAACAAAAAACTGAGATTGAGATTAAAATGTATAGATCATACGATCACAAGGCATCGGGTGATGGCAAGTGTGAAGAGCCCGGACCAGGGGCACTGTGTGGGTGAAGCACTGCTGGACTGAATTCATGAAGCAAGTGTTGCCTAAATTTAAAATCCCTGCACCCTGCAAAACCGATAATTCAAATAATAATAATGATAATGAAGACAATGATAATGATGGTATGAAATAAACACATGACTACAAAGGAGGGAAGATCAAAAGTTCTGCAGAGAATTATGAAACATACCACATCGGTGGATATGATTTCCTTAGATTCCCGCGCTTCTGACCAGCTAGATTCTTGGGCACTCCACTGAGATTGAGTCAATGGTTGACAATCCACAATATCGTTGTCGCTATCATACGATCTTGGGGAATAAGCAGTGTCATCCCCCGGTTGCCAATCCACAATATCGTCTTCGCTATCATACGATCTTGGGGAATAAGCAGTGTCGTCCTCCATTTGCGGACACCATTGCATGTCAGATGATGGGCAATATTCTTCAGGATCCTCTTCTTCAGGGCCCAAGAATGAGTAACTGAGCGTCTCCTTTTCTTGTTGTAAAAATTGCCTATCAACGGCAGATACATTATGTTCGGGCATATTTACAGAAATTGGTTCACATGGATAAAGAACTAAAAGCTGATTATTATCAGCTGTTAAAGATGATGGAGTCAGATAATGATGGGCTAGTGGTTCGTTTGGCGGAGGTGGCGAGAACGGATTTCGGTTCGACGGTGACACAGCCGGAGACTTGTGATGAACGAGGTCTCTAGTGAGAGAAGATGGGTGATGACGAAATAGAATTCAGTTTGTTACCAGAAGAACAAGGCCAATCATGATTCGCCGAAATCTGCTTGCCAGAAGTTTCAATTGACGAAGATGTCGAAGACTGGCCCGAAAATGAACACCAAGAAGCTTCCTCCAGAAAACTAACCGGTTTTGGTGAAATTGGGGAAGACCCATTTGAATTAAGTGGTGGTTGAGCCGAAGACTGGTCACTCAGAGCTTGCATATCTGAAGAGTCATCGTCTGACGAATCCATTGCAGTTAGAATTGAGAAAGAACCACAATGACTGGTCAGAAGAGAATGAGTCTGGTGCAGAAGAATTGGTTTCTAGGGATTCATAATTAAAAGAAAATGAAATCTGGGTATAGAAATCTTGATATGGAAAAACCAGACTGGATTTCAATTTAATTTGATAACGTAAATTGATCTAGGAATGGAAGGTTGGCAAGGCCAGAAAAAGGAGGGAATAAGAACCGACTTCTTAATGCTATTTTCAAATTGAGAGGGAAACTGAGCTGCCTCCTCCGTCAAATATTTAGACTGGGGCGAGTTGAAGAAGAATAAACTACTTAAATACATCTTTAAAACTTTTTTTAAGAATATTCTCAAGTAATAATCAAATTAAAATATAATCTGAAACAATATATAAATATAATTTACTTGGCACGAACATATTTAATACTAAAAATTTATTAATCATAAATATAACAGGACAGAAATGGAGTGAGAAAGTGCGCATAAACACGTCAATGGTGGAACTATCTTTAATATTCATTAATAATCAACCGGTTGATTTAATGGGGATGACGTGATTGCATGCGGTTTCCCAACACAACGGTCACCTGCTTGTCATGCTAACAATACTTTTTAAAATCAAATGCTCGTAAGGACACATTAATTGTCTCATGTTTACCGGCATTAAATACAAGTAAGAATTTATTCAAACAAAATTTAAAAGTATTTCAGTAGAATAATTATGAAAATGACTAATATAAATATTCTCGGGTTTACACACAAATTTTATTAGAGTGTTGCATGCAATTTTCTAAGGATGCTTTTAGGTATAAAGAAGAAGAACTAAATCAGTGTCATTTACAAATTTGAGAAGATAAAATGTATTAATCATATTTCAAAGAAAATTTTATGAGATAAATATGCATATGTATTGTGTTTTTTTTTTTTTTTTTAAAAAAAATGTATATACTATAGTCATAATCTCTTTTAAAATAAATTAATATATTTAGTACTAATATTAAAAAAAAAAAATGCACGAAGAATGATTGATGGAAGACATATTCCAATAATAATATCATGAGAGAATGCAATCCCACATATGTGAAGAAAAAGTATTCCAACAAAAAATATATAATATAATGCTAATTTGTAATTTTAGTATGTTTTTTCTTTAATTTTGTTGTAATAGTTGTTGAGATGTTGGACCTGATACTACAACTCTTGCAGAAAATATGAAGGGGAACGAAATTTTTCTTGATCCACCAGCATTTATAAATTTATTAGATAATTAATATTATATACTTTTTTTTTTTATTATTAATATTTATTAAGAAGAATAGTATATGATTGATATTGATAATCTAAATAGAAAGAGTTTTTAGCATCATATAAAGAGAGCGTATATCATTTATATAATTTTAGATGGTGAAACCAATTCAAGAATTTAATATCAATTATAAATAAATTTGTTGTATAAAAAAATAGATAATATATCTTGATATTAATGATGTCTTATTCATTGTATAAATAATAAATATTAATTACAGTAACTATGATACTACATAATTTTATTAGATTGGATGACTCTATGATATTTAGTTTGTACCGTCAGAGTTTAAGTTAGTTAGTTTATAAAAAGAATGAAGTTAATAATTTGTTATTTTGAAAAGAAATGCAATGTGATTTTTTATTTATCGCGAACTATTTAAATATTTTTATAATTAAAAATAAATAAATAATTCAATTAATATTTATTTATTAAAATTTTTATTGTAAATTAGTAATTTAAATTTAAATTCTTTTCTCATGCCATCTTTTGTTATTTTAGCATTTAAGAAAATTTTTATATTATAATAATTTAAATCAACTAGAGCTCGTATAAATGGTAAAGTAATGAAATCAAAACTTGATTTTCAGTTATCATATTAGAGTATAATTGTCTCTTTGTATTTGTGTAAGCCTTTATTCATGTAAGATATTTTCATTAAGAGATTTGCATGCCCCCCTTATTATTTTTAGGATTTTAAGAAGATTAGCTTAAGATTTCAAACATATATATCTTAATTCATTCCTTTATACTCCATACAAGGCTTAATCTCTCTTTTCTTTAGGCATTTAAGATTTATTTTAGACTTAAATCTTCTTTTTTCTTTCTTTTCATCATAGCATATGATTTAATTTACTATTTAGTATATTTGTTTGGATGATTGTCTGAGCTGAAAATTTGATATATCTACTTACTGTTCCAAAAACAACAGAGGCTATTTTATGGTTGTTGCTTTTGGTTTTTACATTCAAGTTTTTCTTTTCAATTTTGGTGAAAAATGATGTTACTTAGAGAAAACGTAGAATGTTTTTTGTATTTATGAAAATAAGGGTTGATTCCATATCCCTTTGCATTCACATTTTTGATGAAGATGATGTCATAGAGAAACCCATTACACCAGTTAAAAGTATACTCATAAAATTAACTAACAAGAAAAATTAAAAAAAAAAAACAAAAACAAATTGCATCGACCCTCATACTTGAGAAGGACTGGGGAATTTGCATATCAACATGGGGAGTTGAGGGCCTTGTTTATTGAGGTTTTTATTGTTGTCTTATCCTCTTTCTTGCCCCTTCTCTCCTAGGTTTTTCTTTTTTATCTTCATAGCTATTAGGACATATATTAGCAACAATATAAAGAGAATATTTATTCATTTACCAATCTAATTGATAGGAGAATTTTATTTTTTTTACTATATCTACTTAGTATTGTTCAATTAAGAAAGAAATATTCACATAAATGGTCAACGAACAATTCTTACTAGATGTTGCTAATATCTCTTTCTCAGAACTCCTCAAATAACTTATTGATCTACTATGCATAGGTGTGTAAGCGATTTCTTTAAGATAGTTGCATGATTTAACAATATATTAGTTTTCAAAATTATATTATATCTTTATTATACCTTTCCTTGTTAACAATCATGCAACTTTGTTTCTCATCTTGTTTGGATTTTCAAGTCTAGTAAATAGTTTGCTGCTAGTGTTGATGAATTAATGTTCATAAAGTTTTTTTTTTTTTTACCGAAGAAACATGTGATCTAGAGAAGTTTACTATTGTTGAACTTATCAGTAAGCTACAGACTCAAGAGCAGAGAGTTTCAATCAGAAATGAAGCGATCACAGAGAGTGCTTTTCAAGCAAGGCAAATGGATAAGTTTGGGACCTCAACTTCAAAAGATGCAAGTTTGTCCTCAGCAATTAAAAGGAAACAACCATAAAGTTCAAAAGATTCATTAAAAAATGGAAAGTTTTCTCACTATGGAAGTTGTAGTAAATCCAACCATCTTGAAAACAAATGTTGGAAGCATGTGTAGTGCAAGATTTACAAAAAGTATAGTTATACAAAGAAGGTGTGCTAGAAGAGAAAAAATCAAGCATCAAAGAAAAAAAATTGACAACAACCACCTTAGCAACAGTAAGTCAATTATGTTACAAAACATGTGCAGCAGAAAAATCATATTTTCATGATAATTAAAGTCTTTTGTGTGAGTAAAAATGATTTTGTGATATGTGGATAATGTGTATACAAGCTACACGATCAAAGATCGAATGTTGTTAATTGCATAACTAGAAAGCTCAAGAAAAGGCTCAATACTAGTTTAAATTGAAGTATCAAACTCATAACCGACATGCTCTTTATTCTTAATTTAGAGTAAAATTTGTTAAATGTTGCTCAAATGCTAAACAAGAGTTATTCTATTTCATAAAAAATTATTGATATTTTATCTATGATCCTGAAAATGTACAAGTAGCAAATATTAAGAAAAATTAAAATAATCATGTACTTACTTGAAATATACAAATTAATATGCTTTGTTGATAAAGATGATTTGACTTAGTTGTGGCACAAAAGATTTGGTAATTACAATGTTGACTTTTTGAAATTTATGTAAAAGAGTAGAATAGTTACTGATATGTATATGTTAGTTGATTGTGAAAGTGTCTGTAGTGTCTATCAGCTGGGTAAGTTGCATATAACTAGTTTTCCTTCAACTAATGTGAGAAGAGTTGTAAAGAAACTTGAACTCATATATTATTAATGTGTGTGGTCCTATAAATGTTGAATCTTTAAGTAAAAATAAATATTTGTATTATTTATTGATGATTACACTCATATGACTTGGGTGTATTTTTTATCAAATAAAGCTCAAATGTTGTTTGTATTTAAACAATTCAAAACTTTAGTCAAAAAATAAAGCGGAGTTGATATTTTTTTACTTAAGAACAAACAATGGAGGAGAAAATTTCTCAACATAATCTAAAAAATTTTGTGAAAAGAGTAGTATTTATCATTAATTTACTTTCAATTACTCACTATAGCAGAATAGGGTGTCAGAGATGAAGAACTGAATAGTGATAGAGATGATGATATACATGTTTACTGAGAGTTTTCTTCCCAAATGTTTCTTGGCCGAATCAGTTTATATGTTGTCTATTTGATTAACAAACTTCTCATCAAGTTTGTTAAAGGCATGACTTTAATTGAGACATGGATTGGATTAAAACTATGCACATGAAGCTTGAGAATCTTAAGTTCAATATACTACAACTTTATTTCTTTAATTAAAAGAGCAGTTCAGTATCTCAATTTATGTTGATGAGTTGCTCATTACTAGCGAAAATCCTCAATTGGTGCAGCAGTATAAGCAACTTATGATGAAAGAATTTTCTATGTCCGATCTTAGAGAGATGCGTTACTTTCTAGGGAATGAAAGTTAAACAAAATGATGACAATATTTTTCTCTCTCAAAGGAAGTATGTGTGAGATATATTGAAATTTTATATAGAAAAATATAAAGAGGTAACAGTTCCTTTGGTAGTGAATGAAAAGTTGTGCAAGGATGATGGTACTGATAAGATAGATGCAACAATTTACGGAATTTTAATCGGGAACTTGCTTTTCTAAGGCAACCAAGCCTTATATCATGTATCTTACAAGTTTGTTCTATAGGTTTATGCATTCACCAAATTAGATGTACCTTGGTGCTGCTAAAAGGTCATCAAGTATATCAAGAGTACTGCTAATTAAGAAATCTTATTCAAAGGCAACTGACGATTATTTGGTGGAATACTCATATAGCAATTGGGGTAGAAGTGTAAATGATGCCAAAAGCACCTCTGGTTACTTGTTTTCCTTCGGTTCAGGAGTCTTTACTTAAAGTTCCAAGAAGTTAAAAGTTGTGTTACAATTAACTGTAGAAGTTGATCCATTTAAAACATTGTAGATCAGGAGAATAATTTACTTATATCTTAAGTAACAATTTGCCAATGGGCCAGTTTAAAGACTTGAGAATCAAATTTCGATTATTTAAAAGAAAACTCGAATATGAGTGTTAACATCTAATTTTTACTTGTAAAAAATGACTACCGAATTTTTAGAGTAAAAAAATTATTTTTTCGTATTTTGCTTTAGTTAGTAAGTGGTAGTTAAAATAGAAAGATAAACAAGTTAGTAGTAAGAAAATCAACAACTCTTATTTTTTATGGTCGACAAAAATAGTGTATATTATGTGATGATTTTGTTATTACATCGTATCTAACAAGCATAATATATTTTCTTAAAAATCTATATATACGAAAGGCTTATGAATTAAAAAGAAAAAAGAAAAAAACAAAACAAATTTTCACATTTCCACAAATTTTATCCTTTATTTATTCTCCTGTATTTTCTTTCTCTCTATTTTTTGTGCTTTCTTTTTCCTCATGCAAAGTCCGCGTAGTGTGTATTTTGATTTATGTTTCTTTTTTTTTTTCATTTTCCTTTCTTGACCTTATAATTACAGATATAAAAATTATTGAGTTTTGGCTCCAATAGAGACCCTGTGTTATTTTTATACTTTTTTTTTTTAATTTTATTTGAATAAATTCTTTATTTTTAAAACTGTACACATGTATGGTGCGATTTGGTGATGTAAAATATTATTTTTTTATTTAATACATGTCCAAGGGTCACCACTTAGATGCCACTTGGCACACTATTTTTTTTTTTTTTAAAAAAAAAAATCTTTAAAAGTTAAAAATAAATATGAAAAAATTAATGTTGATATTAAAATTTTATGGGTATTATCATGAGTTTATTTTGTCTGGATTCACTTTCAAATGTTATAATTTATTTATTGGGTTTTTTTATTTTATTTTTTTATAGTATTCGAAACTCTCATTTATTTTGTCAAATTTTGCACACCCACTAGACTGGACTGCTCCCTCCTCCTCCTCCTCTTCCCCCACCGCCTTTGATAGACTTGCCGCCAGCAAGCTTCAATTTTTTTTTATTATTGTATATGTATATTTATATATTTCAATGGTAAGTAATTTATGTTTATATATTATTTTAATTTTATTCTTAAAATTTTAAATATGTATTTAAATAGTTTAAAATTAAAAGTTATATATTTCCCGCTAAGTAACCGCCAGCCAACGTATCCATCTCTAGTGTGAAAAGGATTTTTGAATATAGCTAAGAAGCTGCTTCATATTCCCTCCTCTTCTGGCCTTGCCTACCTTCCATTTACGTTATCAAATTAATTAGAAACCCAATTTGATTTTTCCATATTAAGATTTCTTAACCTCCGTTTCATTTTCGACAACCTATTGTCCTCTAATTTCGAAGCTCGCAGCCGTTCCATCTCTCAATTCAATCCCTAGAAACCAATTCTTCTTCTGCTCCGGATTCATTCTCTTCTCAGCACTCATTCTGGATGTTTCTCAATTCTAACTGCAATGGATGGATCAGTTGATGGGTCTTCGCTACCTTCAGATATGCAAGCTCTGGATAACCAGTCTCCTGCTCAACCGTCACTCAATTCAAATGTGTCTTCACCAATTTCACCAAAAAAGTTTAGCTCTCTGGAAGAAGTTTCTCGGTGTTCTTTTCCGGGACAGTCTTGGACAACTTCGTCAATTGAAACTTCTGGCGATCAGATTTTGGTGAACCTTGATTGGCCTTGTTCTGCTGGCAATGACCTGAAACCTATTCCGTCATCACCATCTTCTCCAAGTAGAGACCTCGTTCACCACGAGTCTCCGGCTGCACCACTGCCGAACCTAAATCCGTTCTCGCCACCTCTGCCAAACGAAACCCTAGCGGATCATTATCTGACTCTGTTATCTTTACCAGCTGATAATAATCAGTTTTTACTTCATGATCCATTTGAACCAATATCTGTAATTATGCCCGAACCTGATGTATCTGCCTTTGATAGGCATTTTTTACAACTAGAAAAGGAGAGGATCAGTCTCTCACTGTTTAGCCCTGAAGAAGATGATCCTGAAGAACATCGACCATTATCTGACATGCAATGGTGTTCGCAAAAGAAGGATGGCATTGCTTATCCCCCAAGATCGTATGATAGTGAAGATGAGATTGTGGAGTGTAAACCATGGACTCAATCTCAGTGGAATGCCAAAGAATCTAGCTGGTCAAAAGTGCGGGAATCCAAGGAAGTCATACCCACCGGTGTGGTATGTTCCATCATTCTCTGCACAACTTTTGATCTTCATTCCTTTGTAGTCATGTGTTTATTTCATATCCATCATCATGATTATTATTATTTGAATTATCGGTTTTGTAGGGTTCAGGGATTTCAAATTTAGGCAATACTTGCTTCATGAATTCAATCCTGCAATGCTTCACCCACACGGTGCCCCTGGTCGAGGCTCTTCAGACTTACAATCACCCGATGCCTTGTAATCGTATGATCTATATGTACTTTAATCTCGGTTTTTTGTTGTTTCCTTTTCCGAGTCAAGAACATTAATGGCTAATTTAATACTTTTGTATTTGGTATATTTTATTATTTTCGAAAGAGGTGTTTGTCTCTGACTTTTGATTTTAATTTTTGCATTTCAAATGTTTTTTGCAACCAGTGGATAAAGTGTAAAGTAATTTTGGAAACAACTAAAGTCAAAATTTTCTTTTAATAAATTTTCAAATCAAAAATTAGGATTTTTTTTTTAAAAATAATTTTTGTTTTTACTAAAAATTTATACTTAAAATTTCAAAACATTAAGTTCAATAAACATACAATTCTGCTTTCTTCTTTAAAGTGATGGCGTTTTATCCAGTAATTTGTATGAAGTATAAATTTTTTTTTTTTTATTAAAAACATATTTAATGAACAATTATTTTAAAGATATGTTTAAAACTTACCGCACACATCTCTACAATTATTTGTATTAAATATCAAATAATTTTCTATTAACAACACATTTGGTTAACAGTATATTTAGTGATTAATTATTTTAAAAGTACTTTTAAAACTCACAGCGCAAGCTAGTTTGCCCCCAGTCTAGGCTCTTGGCACTTGCGATCACCCGATGCCTTGTGATTGTATGATCTATATGTTTTAATCTCACTTTTTATTATTTCCTTTTCCAAACAAGAACATTAATGACTAGTTTAATATTCTTCGAATTGACACGTTGTTTCTATTTTTTTTAAAAAAATAACTTGGCATTCTGTTTTAGTTCCGAAAATGGTAAATTTTTTGAAAAGTTATTAGTTTCTATAGAGGCCTCATCTTTCGGAACATGGTAGCACTATCCATATTATTTCTTCTATGGCTTTTAATAATTTGATTCACTAAGTGAAAAAAAATTTGCAAAATTTCAGGTAATAGAGAAGGGTTCTGTGCTATTTGCATTCTTCGTGATCACATACAATTATCTTTACATTCTTCAGGAGGAGTTATCTCACCTTCAAGATTTGTTGACAATTTGAACAGTATCCTTTTCTTTTTCATTTTCCTTTTAATGAATTAGAACAATGTAAGCAGATAGTCATTAAGGTTTCATATTTTTATCATTCTGCTTAACCACGCTGTAGTTAACTCTTACCATATAATAATCTCAAATTTATGCCTTTGAAAGCTATCTTTAATTAATCTTGTATATGAAAATGCTGCATGCATACTTTTTTTCCGAACAACTGTTTCTTTGACTAGACAATAGTTTTTTTCTTGTTATTCTTGACCCAAAGAACATTAGAATTTTCCCCTTTCTTCCAGAAATACCAGCAGGAAGATGCTCATGAATTCTTGCAATCCATATTAGATAAACTTGAACGATGTTGCTTGGATTCTGAGAAAAAAGATGATAGTTTATCTTCCCATGATATTAACATTGTGGAGCAGGTCTTTGGTGGTCGTCTCCTAAGTAGAGTATGGCCTGCCTCTTATTTCTCTTTATACTTTTTCCAATATTGAAAATAAGTAGCAGTTCTGTCAATATGCAAATCGTATTGACATTCTATTGATTGGATATCAGCTTCAGTGCTGCAACTGTGGTCACTACTCCGACACTTATGAGCCCTCGATTGGACTTAGTTTGGAGATTGAAGAAGTGGACGCTCTTCAAAATGCCCTATTATCTTTTACCAGTGTGGAAAAACTTGAAGATCCAGAGACAAAGTTTAAATGTGAGAATTGCAAAGAAACAGTGTTGAAGGAGAAACAACTTATGGTGGACCGGGCACCTTCAGTTGCCACATTCCACTTGAAGAGATTCAAGAATCATGGAATTTTTGTTGATAAGATTTATAAGCATGTGAAGTTCCCATTGGAGTTGGACTTGCAACCTTATACGAGTAGTGAAGTGAGTAAAATGTTGACATTTGAGATTTACTGCAGAGATCTTGATTTTAGTTGAATGAGCTTCAGGGCATTGAGATTTGATAAAATTTAATTCTGTATCTTTTTTTTTTTTTTTTTTTGTTCATGGAGAAGCCCTAGTTGAGCCATAATTTTTCAGGACACTTGACTATTGATTTGCATGTCTGTTAGTTTTGCGGACAGTCGTGTTTATTTCAGTTATGATCATCAATTCCTTAAAAATTTTCTGCCATTTCTTACAGGAGGTGGAGCTCAAGTATTACTTGTATGCATTTGTGGTGCACGTTGGAAAATCATTAACAGATGGTCATTACTTCTGCTACGTTCGGTCCTCTCTGAATACATGGCACAAATTGGATGACTCACAGGTAGCAATTACCAAATTTATTACTGATCTGGCCTTCCAGATGAGCTTGTTTTGGTGTTATGTCTTTAATTTTTAATTCCTTAGGAAGGTTAAGCATAAGTTATGATTACATTGATGACGTAGGCATTAAGTTTTCATTGCTATTTTTTCCTGCATTTTGTTAATTGACATAATTCTTGATGCTTCAACATTTAAGTTATCGAAGTATCCCAAATATCCTCCTTAAAGTCATGTAGTTACTGGATTTTGGTGGTCAGACAAAATTTATGCCGTTTAACTTATAAAATGTAAGTATGTTGGGTTGAGTTGTCGACATCAATCACTGGGTTATAGAAGCTCTAATTCATGATTAAACCAATCTTGCTGAATTTTGGTGTGTGTATATATATATATATATGTAATTTATTTGTTTATTGATTTATTTATTTTTTTCCTTTTGGCAGGTTACCAGGGTTGAAGAAGACTTTGTGCTATCTCAGGATGCATATATATTATTCTATGCCAGGCAGGAGACACCATGGTTTTCAACTATCTTTGAAGGGATAAAGCCTAGACTGGAAGCAAACACAAATTTATTGCCCAAGTCAGTTATGGATTCAGTGAAAAATGACTTTAATTCTGATAATAGAATAGGAGATAATGAAAATTATGAGGTGAATAAATCCAGTGACAATGAAATGACTGCAAAACTAAAAAAGTGGTCTCAATTAATTGAAATGTCGAACGCTGCTGGGGTTGTTTCTGCCAAGAATTCTTACAAATCAAATCAGAATAAAGATGATGTTCCCATGATTCATGCTTCATCAGCATTAATGGACAGTGAGTATGAGATATCACAAAATGTGCTGTCTCTTAAAAAGAATAATTGGGATCAGAGGGGTACCAAAGTTTCAAGGAAAAATAGTTCACCTTCCACACTGCCTGGATCAGAGAGTTCAGGTGTTCCTCGGGAACACCAAGGTAAAAGAATCACTCCCGTGATCTTGTTTCCATATACATATATATATATATATATTTCATTATAGTTAAGCCAAATAATTCGACACTAGTTTAAATTTTGCAGAAGCAGTTTATTGCATTCCGCGAGATCATTTGAAATTAGAGAAGGAAGGGAGTCGAAAGAGACCATCTGGCAAGGTTCCATTGGATATGAATACAAGTTTAGCTCTTAGTTGCCCTGAAAAGCACATCCCTGGATCAAGGGCGACAATGCTTTCTACTGATATGGAGGTTGGGCAGGATGGGGACCCCAACAAAAGGAAAAAATTACATGCAACGCCATGCAAAACTTCTAGTCCTCCATCAGAAGAAAAACCTACGAACGGGGACGAAGTTGGTAGCTCATCATAGACACAGTGGGGAAGAAGTTGGTTAGTAGGTTTTTGTTCTGATTATCTTGTGGATGATTCATACTGTTACTGTTATTTCTTTTGGCATGGCCAGCTCTTTCGTTTAATAGACAAATATTTATCAACTGTCAACTTTTAATAAATAGATTAGCAAGTATTTATAACTAGAAAATGCTGCCAATACTATTAATTAATCTGTTACTGCTCACAATATATATTACTAACTATGGCTAATTATTACGAAATATTATAATACGATACTGCCGATTTATCATTAATTATCATGTATGCTATGAAATATTATTACATACAAATATTTTGGACACAATATCATCTGATTTTAACATTTCTATGAATATTTATTATTGATATTCTGTAGTAGTAATGTGTTGGCAAGTAAATTGTATTATTATAATAATTTTGTTCCAAAGATGTTGTAATTATTATTCCAACAACAATGAACATATATCTTTTTTACTTTTATCCAAAAATTTAATATTAATATTTATAAGATAATATTATGCAATAAATTTAATAATAATATGTTTTTCTTTTAAACATAAGTTTAACAAATTAATTAAGTTTAGAATTTTCTAAGAGGTAGTTAGGATTTTTTGTGAAAAAGAAATATCATACATACTATCTATCCAACATAAATTCTCAATGTTTAGATAATTTATTACTTAAAAATATGTTAAATTATCAACTCTAACTAAATATATATATATATGTCTTACCTCTTCAAGAAGAAGGATATTCGTATATATTTCGACAAAGATTCTTTGTTCAAATCTATAATTAAGTCTCATTATCTTGATAAGATGAGCCTTAATATGATATATCGGAATTAACATAAATGATGATTATATGCCAATATATATGTACAAACACAAAATATAACATGTTTCAAGAAGCAATAATCCAAATAAAAAAAGTCTATGCACGTTCATTCTCAACTTGAAAGCAAAGGTTAATGTATAGATAGGAGTCATCAAGTTGTTGCAACTAGAGATGGTAAGACTCCCCGAAACAATAAATTTTCTTTTTGAAAGATTGTGAGTCACAATAATCTATTAATGGTGGGATCGTTACAAAAAATATGTTTTTTAAAAATGATCACTTTTAGTAATAAATAATATTTATGACTAAACGAGAACATATATAAATACAAATGGTTGAAATAGATCACTTTCAGTAACACAAGCCTTTATCATTAAAAATAAGAGCTGTTTGTACGAATTTCAGTTTACCAATAATATCACTTCTATTAGTGAAAATTAATTTATACAAACAATCTCTATTTTTATATACTATGCCCCAAATCATATGATTTATATCAATTGGTCTAAATCCCTTAAGATCCATCATATCTAGATCTTAAATTCTAACTCATTAAATCTATATAATATTTTATTTACTTTTCTCATCATTAAATCAATTCCTTAAACTCTTCCTACTAACCCAAAACCTGTTAGATTTCAAAATAAAACTTTAGCTCATTAAACCAAAATTCACATAGTTAAAAATTTTAGCTCTCTTATTTAAGATTACTCTTTCGTCTCTCCTTCCACTCATCATAGCTTCGTTCTTCAAGCTTCAAGGATTAGGCAGATTAGGGTTTGTTTTAGAGCTTCATCCTCCCCTTTTCAACTCCACATGACTAAACAGATTATTGATTAAATAATTAAATATATTTTATTTTTAAAAAGAATTTTTTTTATGATTCGATTATATCTAACTTATTCATTAAATAAATTTGAATTTATAAGTAACTTATATTAAATACTATTTATTAAATAGATATGAATTTTTAAGTAATTTATATTCTTAATCGTACATTAAAAATATACAAGTATGGACTTAAATACCTAAATGGCTCTTGTATAATTGATTTTTTTTATTTGAATTCCTAGACTATTTTTCTATCTGTTTTGCTTATGTACTTTTAAATTTTATTTGAATACTTATTCTAATAATGTTAAAACCCCTTACACATGGTAGATGATGTGGTCAAAATTTCATATACTTTTCCATATAGCTGCCAACATCCAAATCCCACACCTAATATACTTATTCATTTTTAGTTTTAAAAATAAAGATTGAATATTTAAAAATTAAAATAATATTGAGATTTCATTAATTATTATAACTTGATTGATACACAGATATTGAGTTTCTAATCTTAAAATTTGATAAAGCCAATAAAGGAAGAAAATGGAGAAGGATTGAAGAAGTTGGGTCCTACTTTAGATTCGAGAAGCTTGTTTTTGTGGGATGCGAACTTATTGCGTATAATGAAGAGAGAAAAAAGGGTGACAGTTTAAGCTTTTCTTTCTCGGCTAATGAAAGGCGGGGAGATGGTAAGTTTCTGTCTGAAGCTTGCTTGAAAGTCTATTCAATGGCGGTGTGGGAAGACGAGGAAGGAGATTGGGTGTTGGGAACAGAGAGGAAGGAATAGTCTGTGTAAAGAAGATTGAACCGATCAAGGCTACTCTTCATCAGCAAACTGAAGATGACAAGTGTGCAAACTTGTTCAAGTCAGCAAATTGTCCCAGTCGGCAATCCAACTTAGCCACCAGCTTCTAGACAAATCACGCATGGCTAAACAACTGGAACGCAATCATCGCTTCTTGTCATTCCCTGATGTCCTTCCTTATTCTCTACGTTTTTTATTTTGATCCTCTGCAATTTGTTCCTTGTTTTCTTGTGATGTGTATGTATGTTTTGGACTCTTATAGAAGAGCTGCTAAGCTCTGTAAATTCTGTAACTCTCTTGATGATTATATATGAAATACACAAGCTGTGAATTGTCCAGCTTTCCCTTTACCAAGAAACTAAAAGCTTCGTTTCATAACTTGGTATCAGAGCCAGTGCAAATGGCAGGAGAAAACAACAACTCTTCCACCTTCAATCCACTACCTCAAAGAATTTAAACCCTGCCCAGCAGCACAATGAGCTCAGTTTGCAAACTAAAACTTAACCACAAAAACTTTCTTCTCTACAAAAATATGGTCCTCCAAATCATCAGAGGAAATAAACTTGAAGGCTTCATCATTGGAGCCAAACTTAGCCCATCTGAATATACAGAGAAAATCATGGAAGGAAGCACCAACGTATTTGAACCCAGAATTCGAAAATTGGTTCGCACAAGATCAAATGTTATTAGGTTGGCTCTACAGCTCGATTGAAACAAGTTTGGCCTCCAAATTGATGGGATACTCAACATCAAAACTCCTTTGTGATGCCATCTAAGAGCTATTCGCAGAAAAAAAAAAGAGTAAATGTAATCTATTACAAGAGAAACTTCATCAAAATACAAAAAAAAAAAGTTTGAAAATGGAAGAATACCTAAAAACCATCAAAGGCATCGCAGACAACCTTGCACTGATAGGTCATCCTATAACACTCGAAGATCTCGTCTCTCAAATTCTCATCTGCTTAGACTCCTCTGAATACAACCCATTGGTGTGCCAAATCACAGAGAAAGAAAACATAAGTTGGGTGGAGCTTCAATCACGACTGTTGAACTATGAAAGACAACTAGAACAACTCAACACTACCACGACTAATCTTAGCCGCGAACGACCTTCAGCAAACTTTTCCAGTATCAGAAGCAAAAGGAACTATCAAAATCCTCATTTTCAAACGAAAAATAGAGGAGGAGGACGAAACAACAATCTAAACAAGGGTGGTCGCTATAACACTAAAAGAGGAGAAAAAAGCAGCGGTAACTCTAGATCAATTTGTTAAGTGTGCGGCAAAATTGGACATACTACTACTCATTGCTACTATCGATATGATAATAGCTACATGGGAGCTGTTCTAGAGAGTTCAACGAAGGTCCAACAAAGATTTGCCTCTTTTCAGGCTCCACCGAAAACAACCTTGAAGACCCAATGTTGTATGCCGACAGCGGTGCCAATAACCATGTTATAGGTGACCCTAACATCCTATAATCGAAACAAGTATATACAGGAAATGAGAGCCTGATGATTGAAAATAGTAAGAAAATGTGTATCAAAGACATTGGTAAGACAAATATCTATACACCTAGTAGCCAAAAATTAGCACTTCACATAGTGCTACATTTGCCTAAGATTAATCGAAATCTACTGAGTGATTCTTAACTGACCTCTTCAAATAATGTTGAAGTAATTTTTTACTCATCTCATTGTTTTCAATCGGATATGGGAGGAGAGTTCACTGTTCTGGCTCAGACTCTCCAAAATAGTGGAATAAAAATTAGATACTCTTGCCCTTACTCCTAAGCTCAAAATGGACGAGCTAAAAGAAAACACGGGCATGTAGCCGAAACAGGTCTTGCGCTTCTTGCTGAGTTGGGAGTACCACTAAAGTATTGGCTTAATGCCTTTGAAACAGTTGTATTCCTAATTAACAGAATGCCTACACCAATTTTGAATCAATTTTCATCGCTTCAAAAATTATACCACAAAAAACCCAACTACAAATAGCTGAAATGCTTTGAATGTGCCTGCTTTCCTTGCCTGAGACCATACCAAAATCACAAGCTCTCTTTTCACTTATCAAAGTGTGTATTCCTTGACTACAACTCACTTCACAAAGGATACAAATGTCTCAGCTCAACTAGTAAAACCTATGTGTAAAAGAATGTTGTTTTTAGTGAATCAGATTTGTATTTCCACCATGGCTTTGTCAGCACACATTAACCTAAAGTGCCCTCTAGAATTACAATGTCATTGTGGTTTAACATATCCTTTAACCTCCCACCAACTTTACCTCATTCCAGGAGCACAACCAGCTAAGACATCTCAGAAGCTACAACATCAGCATCCTCTCCTACGGTTGAGACTTCACCTCAACACTTGCTGAGAGACTCTCCAACTAGTGAGAACTTGTTGTAACATGAACTAGAATCTCCCCTAAATCAAAATATGATACCAGATGGAGAATTGGAAGAGAGACTGCAGACAACAGACATTATAACTGAAGCTCCTAGACACCAAATGATGGTCAGAGCTCAAGATTGGATCTTTAGACCAAGGAACATGTCACAAGATTTTCAATTATTCAAAGCAACGAAGGTAAATAATCTCATAACACCCACTTTGACCAAAGAAGCTGTAACGGCCCCAGAAATTTAAAGAAAATGTATGTATTAAAAATTTTAAGTGCGGAAGCGAAATAAAAATTCTGATTAATATCCCTTACACAATAACCAAAACGTATTAAACGTATGAAAGAATAAATTAACTGAAGTAAACACTAGTAATGAATGCTATAAATAAATCTATGAAATCCTTAGTCATCTACTCGCCGTCTTCCTGCGAGACGGGCTCGGGAACCAAGTCCTTCTGATCTGAAATGGTTAAGTAAGAAATGAGCTATACTAGCCCAGTAAAAACATCACACTATCTCACTACCACAGGAGTAAAGGTTGGTAGAAAACAAAAACGACCAATAGAGCATAATTTATAGCAAACTCATTTATCAATAATAAAAACCTTTACTGTCCACTTACCTCGGTGAGATTCATGAAAGACAACTTATGAAACATAATAACATCATAAACATCATAAAATCATGCACACTTTGTAACATAACACATATCAAACTCTCATTTTTCAATCATCAGACAATAATTTTTCTCTTTTATCAGCCTGCTAGTATCCATGGGGATCCATAGAGGGGTCCTTGCTACATGTGAACCATTCACATTAATAACTTGATTCCAGGGCCGTCCCCATACCCCGTCCGGTATGGGCGCCAAAACCATAAACCTCAATATCTCGTACGGTATGAGGGTGAAACGGGCCGTCCCCATACCCCGTTCGGTATGGGTGCCAAAACACATAAGGTCTCCATACCCCGTCCGATATGAGAGATCACGTTCCCGGTAGGGTTCTCCACGGACCCAAGTCCATCCACCATCTCCCAGGATATCTAGTTAGGCTGTCGACATCATCCATTTATCAATTCACATACATTTTTCTATTTTTCTTGGTCTCAATTATCCACTCAAACATAAATACGTAAACTAGTAATGAACACCAAACAAGACAACAACGGGTTCACAATAATTCAAACCATAATAAATGAAATCGTGATTCATGCATACGAAACCATAGAATAAACACATCAAATATCATACTGTATTTAAAAATATAAAATAGATCAACAACAATTGACCAAAAAATACATCAGATTCAGGCTCCATTAGCAACCTTAATTAATTATACACAATTCATAAAATACCGTTTATTCTTTTATTGAGCTTTAATACCGTGATAGAAAATTTGGTGAGAAATCTTTATTTATTTTGGAGTCTGAAATCGGATTCTCACTGCGCCTACGGGTTGTCCCTAAATTCCCTAAATTTTTATTCAGGAACTGAAATACACTTCTGGTACCTACACATGTCCCGAAAAAACTCAAAATCAAACCTAAGGCCTACTCGGCCATTCTCAGAAAAGCCGCCGTGGTCCGGCGATGGCGCCGCCGCCCGCGGCAGTGATCCGCCTTGGGTTGGTCGTATTCTGGCGAATTTGGCCAAACTCGCATTGATTCCTATGATAAAGCACCCCTAGGGTCCACGGTGGGCCAAAAATCAAGAAAAACTGAGACTTACCGACGGCAGAGCTCTCGGGTGCAGTGGCTTCTCCAGTGCGAGTCGTGATTTGATGTTTTGCTCCGGTCAACCTGTAGAGAAAAGGACGGTGATCACAGTGGTGTAAAAATTACATCAAGCGGGAAGGGCCTCATCGGAGGCAAAAATCGAGGGAAGCTGCAGCGGCGCCGCTGAACTTCGGCAGTGTTTTTCAGTCAATTAACCGGTGGTTTGGCTCCGATTTGACCACAGGTGGATTCAGCATCGAAAAACGAGCCCATGAGAGAAATTTTACCTCGTTTGACGGTCGAAAAATTCTCTAGTGCGGCGACAGGTGGTGGCGGCCGGCTCCTCCGGTGACTGGGTCGTCTTCTCTGACGAGGGTACTGGCGGCTAGGGTTTGGGGTTAGGTGTGGGTGAGGTTATTTATAACCTTCCCCTTTTAATCTCAGCCGTCGATCACGATTTAATCTGGACCGGCCGATCGCGATTAAAATGGGAATTAATCTGGGCCGTCCATCGTGATGCGATCTGGACAGTCCGTGCGTGATTCAATCTGGGCCATCCATGCGCACTTTTGATCTGGGCCATCCATGCGTACAGGAACGGATCTGGGCCGTCCGATCGCACGCACGAGGATCACCTACGTGGCCCCGTCCCGCGTGGCTTCCCGCGTCAACGTTCTTGCCATGCGGCGTGTCTTGGTTGGCTGGGGCTGCTGACCGGGCTGCTGACGTGGCGTATCTTTTCTAAATTGCGTTTTGACCCCTGATTTTTTAGTTTCTTTTCAAAAACACCACCAGAATCCAAAATTTCACCCATTTTTCCCAAAATCATTTTCAATTAATTCTCAAAAATAATTTTACCCAATT